CTCCAATGTTCGTTCATGAGGTACTCCCTCGATGTTTCGTTCCTCAAGTAACGGATATTTAAAAGGAATTTGACGAATTTCAAGAAAGTGACGCTTTCATTATTATAAGATAGCTTTCCCGGTTTAAATACCGCGTCAAAATTCTTGCCACCGATTTCGCTCAAATTATTTGAAGCTAGCAATTCTATGTAACTACCATAACGCGCTATAAAATACTCGTTCTTCCATTCGAACTTGCTTCTGTAGGCCGACATTAATCTGCCTATGGGATTTCTCACGAACATAAATTTTAGGTATTTTCTTGCTTCATAGTTATCACCATTCATGACGAGATTCGATAGTATTCTAAACTTAAATCCATCCACGTAGGGTCCGAAAGAATTATTGGGAGTCATAGAAGATTCGAGTAACGTTTTGTAGGATAAATTATTGGAAACCATGAAGAAGCTCTTCCAAGAAGTCGAGGAAGCCTTAGGCACGTAACAATACATTACCCCCCTTGCCTCGTCTACGATTTGATGGGATTGAGCGTAATCATTCATCACCGAGTATAAAGGTGATATGGTCGAACAGACGTGTTTCAGCCAGCCTATTCTAACGGTGTCCAATATATCTTCGCTTAAATTAAGGTGTTCATGAGGGTCGTATCTCGATACATTATATTTCTTTTTAAGATACTCGTATTGTATCTTTTTGAATGAGATCCGATATAATTTTAAAAAAATAAATAAATGTATTTATTTACCTCGGAATTGGTGATATTTGACAAATATTCATACGGATTCAATTTTCGCAAACATTTTATTAAATCTATATAATTTTGTGCTAAAATAAAATATTAATTTCTAGAGATTTGATTCAAAAAAAAAATGATTGAATGTATAATTTATTGACATTTTATTGATTTTGGAAAACAAAAAAAAATGTTAAATAATTTATGACATTACATACTTTTATAATTTAAGAATTCCATGTAGAATACAGTAAATGCACAGAATATACATGTCCATAACAGATATTTTTTGAATGCCCAAATTATCATGAAAAAAAAAATTTTTGTTCAAATAATTTTATATTGTTATTTAATATATATTATTTATTTCTTCCTTTATAAAATTGCTTACATTAGCACAAAAAAAACCATTTTATTATAAGAAACAAAAATATGGTTTTTTAAAGTTTTTTTCATCCAAAATATTTTTTAAAAAAAAACAATTTTGCAAATATTTTTTAAAAAATAAATTATTATATATATATTTTAATATTTTTTAAAAGACAATTTCCGAAAAATTAATTTTACTATATATTTGTATTACTTTATTTACTTATAGAATCATATTACATTTTTTTCTTTCACAACAGTCATTACATTTTGTTAGTAATATCTTGTTTGCGGCTATTAAGTTAACACAAAACGGTAATTATATATGTATATTAAACTTTTCAATTTTTTTTGTTTTGTTAAAATAAAGTTGTGTACTGTGTGTAATCCCTAAACTAATTTACAACATTTCTTTTATAAAATTTGTATCGGTGCCACCTAAACACTCCCATTCCTCGCTGAGACCGAGAAACTAACGCAAAATGTTACCCCATGCTCATGGGTAGTGGGGTCAATTTTTTTAAAATGGCCCGAGATAGATTATAAGAGATTTGGCAAAAAAAAGAGATGTCCCCCAGGCATTTCTGCCAGCTGTTTGCAAAATCTTTAGAACTTACATGACTTCATTTAGATTAAATCCACCCGTTTCGATCTTTTCAAACAACACTACATATGAGAAAATTTTCGAATTTTATTCTTTTTTTTTTTTAAAGTTATTATTATTTATTCGATCATTTGTTTACATCAGCGAGAAATTTTCACTTAAATAAAAATATGTTTATTTTTTCTTTCAATCCAAATGTAAAAAATCTCAAAAAATTTTAAATATTATAATTAGTTAACTGTAGCAATGCGAATGTTGTGAAGGATTAATTTGCGGAAATGGTTGAGTGCAGATCACGTGAATATTCCTATGATTTTGACGATTAAAGATTGGAGTATTTAAAAGATTCTGTCATCAAATCGTCGCTTTGTATTCTTGTTCAGTCAGGTTGGTGTTGAAGAATTATTGGTGATTAAATTGTTGAAAGTTTTTTATAGATACTCGAAAATTGGAATTATATTTGATATTATTCAAGAATATTTTGAAATGTAATGGCGGCTCGTAACTTTTTCCAAAATGTTGAAAACAAATCCATAATTCTTTGTTAAAAATGCAAATCAGCTGGATAAGCCATTAACGCCATGTTGATTACTTGCCTAATAAAATTTATAATATAAAAAAAATTTGAAAATCAATTATTCCATGGCTAATTTTACGTATTTAGCAAATATTTTAAAATATTCTGGATAGAAGGAAGAATTGGTTGTTTTATTTTATGGGCTACCTATTATATTTTAAAAATATTTTTTTTTAAAAAATATTTATATTGTATAAATTTATCCAAAATTAAAAATTATCTAAATAAATAAAATAGATTATGGAAGAAAAGGTAATGCATAAAAATATAATATGTATAGAACACATATATTATATAAATATAAGACCCATATATAAAAGTTTTAAAATAATAAATAAATTTCCGTTAGATGGCGTAAATTTAAAATTTTAGTTTTTTAAATTTAAAAATAAAACGAAATAGGAGCATAATTCTTTGGATTAATTTATAACTTATATAATCATAAAATAAAAAAAATTTGAAGTTTTCATCGTTATTATTGGAGTTATGATGTCAATTCTCACTCAGTTTAGTCAAATTTTTTTTTTAGATTTTTTGATTTAAAAATATATTATTTTAATCTCGGGAAAATAAAACTTGTAAATTAAACTGCAAAAAAGATTCTTTGAAACGAAAAATCAATAATCAACAATAAAAAATAGATTAAATAAAATTTTATTCTTTGTTCTTTCCAGGTATTATCACAAAGGGGTATAAAAATATATTATTATGATTGATAAATATGATTATCAATAATATATATATATATATATATATTAATTTTAAATTTGCCAAATAAAATTTGCTTTTTCAGAATTTTGATCAGATATTCAGAAATGTTTAGCACTTAACTAAGTTTTTGCTGTAATAAATACACATAGCAGTTGGGTGCCGATTTTTGAAGAGTACTGATATATTTAATAAAATAGCATTTTAGTTTTATCTGAAAACTAAGCTAAAATTAATATTTAAAATTTGTTCATGCAAATAACATACAAGTGTAATAACCATTCTAAAAATTTGGATTCACACTTCTTGCTTTTTTAAAAATATATTGGGTATAAACATTAAGCAGCAGAAACACTTTTTCTATTTTTCCTAGAAAGGAAGGAAGGAAGAATGTGATTGCTAAGATTTCAATTATACTTTTTTTAAATTTCCGCCTGGTATTAGAGTTCTGATTGGTTTGGAATGGCTTCCTGCCTAAAAATTATTTACAAAAAAATAAAATAGGTTTTCTTTTTCAAAATGAAGAGATAACTATAACTTTTAGGGGACTGGGACAAAACAATTAGAGATATATTTATTTTTTAAATTTATAAAAATTTGTTCAATTAATTAAAAATATTTTTATATTTTAAATTTTTTTTTAGGCCAGACGTGTTTTGACAACCATAGTAATTTTCTGATGGAATCGAGGGCTGTAGTATCTAAATTGTCGGCACCTGCTATGTTTAAATGCTTTATTTTGACGAAAATTTTTTCCATCTTTATGATGAACAAAACCAGACCAAACCTGTTGCGATTGTTTTTTTAAATATTGTATACACGTTTTGTTTTCTAATAATTTAAATGAGTAATTTTTTTTATAACTAAGACGGGAATGACCAGGGGGTGGGGGTAGATATAAAAGCTTGAAAAGAAACCACTCGTTTTTTATATAGGTGAATGAATTTTACGAGTTTCTACTTATTTTATTTTTCAAAGTTTTGTTTTTGTCGACGTTATTTTTTAAATATAAACCCAATTGCTTTATATAATTGTATACCTTGATTCTGATAATGAAATAAAAAATTTTTAACGTGTTAATTTATGTCTACCATTAAATAAATATACCCCCAAAATTACGGATTTGTCTGTGACACGGTTTCTGTCGTTGCTTGCGAAAACTCCGTTTAATAAAAATGGAAAAATATATATGCCCTAAAACTAACGATTTTACCATAGTAGAGCACCAATCGTTTCTTGTGAACCCCACATTTTAGTTATGTCTAATAATGAAAATAAATAAACAATGGATGGCCGTGTGGAGCGGCTCCGACCGTTCTTTGCCAATTTGCCCGTTTATTTTTGGTATTTTAGATTCAAGAACGTTGGTTAAAGCACCACAAAAATCTCGTAATTTTGATCATCAAAACGTTCAATACCTTTACCATTAAAATACTTATTTTAATATTCCTACAACTTATCTAAGCTTTTTAGACTCTTATATAATTTATAATAAATACATTCCAAGATCTACAATTTATACAATCTGCTAATATGGTGTAAAAATTGAAAATGATGTACAAAATAACTTTATTTTAAATTTATCTATTAAAAAATATATCTAACTCACTAGTAACCTAACAAATTCTATATATTCATACTTTTCAAAAGTAAATAACAATCAATGTATCTATTAGATTAATATTATGTTAGGTGAAAGAAATAATATAACATGTCCGTAGGTTAATATAATATAAAATAAATTTCGAATGTATTAACACAATCCTCTAATAAAGAAAGTTATAAAAATAGATATTTTACTTCTTTCGATATAATTTTAATTTTTGAATCGACCACCTGTTTGATATTACTAAAGTATTATTAATATGGTAATTAATTTTATTAATTTTTTAACATACTTAATATTAGTCTATATCCTTCAAATCTTAAATTTTAGCCCATATTGATACTTGTTTAATTCGAAGTATATCTCAACTAATCAAAACTACCCTCAGTTAAACATTCCTTAGCTATTTTTTTACACTTTATGGTAAGGTTGAAAAAATTTTTTTTTGATGGAGACGTCTTTTGAAAATGTTTTGGATAAAATGTATGATAAGTATTTTAAAAGAGTAACCATCATTATTTTTAGAATAGCAGAAGATTCCAACATTGAATGGCTTATTATAACGGATAGTAAAGGATATTGCGTTGGGCGTAATTTATTTCCATAAAATTATGATTTAACTTCCATTTTAGATAGAGGTAAAGTTAACAAAGAGATATCTGGAATAGTTTCCGAAATTTCTAATTTATCCTTCTCTCTTTTTAATCAAAATAAAGACGATGTCGAAAAATTGATTGATATTGGTGAGAGTGATAATGAATTAATCACAATAAATTCAAAACTAGGGTAGGTAAATTAATATAAAATTGCCTTATTACCATGCTGTCTAATATATATTAACAGATTTATGTTGAACTAGTTGTTCTTATAGTGATATGGAACTAGTATTAAATGGCTAGCCAGAAAGTTATTGCTCAAGCCTCGAGATTTTGCTAATAGATTTCCAAACCTTTGTATCATCTGCAAAATATTTAGGCTTAGGTAATATTTTTCTGAATAAAACGTTGAGTTAGCCATTTTTAAAAATTGGCTCAAATTGAGCTGTTCAACACTGCATGGAACTTTTATGAAAATTTAATTTTTTTTCTTTATTAAATAATAATTATCTAATTGCATTTGTTAAAAATAATTTATCTCTTCAATGTCAATTTTAAACAATTTTTCTTTTATTTGAATTTGTCATACACATGCCAAAGATTTGTAAATTTATTACATTGGTTTTATTAGTTAAATAGTAGTAGTGGCTAAATTAATTTCATATGTAAATATAATAATCACTTATTGAAATATTAATATTTTGCATCATAAAAAAAGCTATATAATAATTAAAAAATAAAACATATAAGAAAACACTTTCTATGCCAAGATATTTGGTAGCCCATGGCAAAAAAATTAATTAGTTTTCCTTTTAAAAAGAATATAGTTTACTTAAGCTTATTTAATAATTTTTTCATATTCTAGCCTAAACTAAAGTATGGCAAAATTTATTAAATTTTATTCATAAATTAATACTTATAAATTAGTATAAGGCATGTGCCTTATTAAAATCATAAGCTAATTATATAATTATAAAAATTGAAAATGTTTATCCCCCCCCCCATCCCCCATTTATTTGTGAAAAAGGATATTCTATTAGTTCAATCTAATGACATCGTAATATCATTTTAAATTAAATTATGGATAGGTTTACAAGATGGTTTTGTGCCATTTGGCTCTTAAGTAAGTTTTAATAAGCTTAAGATCTGGCGTTCAGCCAATGCGACAGTAATTGAAATGGAATAATTCTCAAAACAATGGATATCTTTGAACAAGTCATTTAACCTATTTGCAAAAAATTTCTTGATAGTTTTAATTTAATTAAAATATCTAGCACATATCACCTTCAAATGAATCTGGATCCATTAATTTTATTTTAGCTCCATTTTAGGTGCAATTGCTGGTATATAGAATAAAACCCCAATATGATTACTAAAAAGTTGCAACTTCTTGAAACGTTATGACAGTGAAATCCTGTAAAACATAAAATAAAGTATTTTCTTTAATGAATGTGAAAATTGCTTTAGAACTTTTCATCCTTGAATGGATGTAATTTTAAGTAGAGCATTCATCTTCTAAACACATTTCAAATTCTTCTTAGAGTCAAGGAAATTCTTAATGCCATTTTCCTTAAAATAATTTAAAAAAAAACTCTTGCATGCTTTCTAAAAGTATATTGGCTATTTCTAATTGAGTATTTGTCCACATGACATTGCTTAATAAATTCACCTCCATTAATTCATCAAACCAAATGACAAAGAGTTACTAAAATGGAAACTTATTTTAAATTCTTTAGCCAAATAAAATGCTTCCTTGCAGCATTTGGGATCAATCGTTTTTTGTAGGGTGTGCCGATCCACGTATTTTTCACCAATCCGATATTGGCTCAAAACCGATCCGATATTTATTTTTTACCACCCCTCTTTGAACCAGATGTAATTAAGAAATCAAAATTTTTTTTAAGCAAAAGAATTATGTATTTAATTTAATTTTTTTATTTCAACAATAATTTAAAAAAATTATATTATAATAGATAAAATAAAATAAATGTAATAATATATCATATCTATTTTATGTTGGTTTATAAAATTGTGATATTTAACATATAAAATTATAATATATTAGATTTTTTTAATAAATATAAGAACTTCTAGATTTTTTAGAAGAATCAAAATATTTCCAAATATAAGTTTTATTAAGAATGGCTGATATTGTTGGCTGTCTTTCAGGGTTCAAATCTTGATTTGTTTATTTTCTAATATTTCTCGTTCTTTTTGTATTTAGTTCTTCGAATTTCGTTTGATGGAATCGCCTTAAATGTTTCCGAATATTTGTTGTAATAAATGAATTTTTCATCATTCCTCCCAATCAGAATTCCGCAGATAACGCATTTTGCAAAATTCTCTTTATCTTTATCAAAATATTTCCATAATTCAGAAACCATATTTAAAATAATTCTTTTATTTAAAGTATAAATAATAAAAATCGGGGTTTTTTTTTTAAAAAAAAATTAAAAATAAATAAAACTTTTGCATTGTTTAAAAAAAAATTATTTAAGAAAAAATTATTTATGTAAAATAGAAACTCACTGAAACTCGGAAAAAATGTATTTTATTTATTTATTTTTTTAAAAAATTTTTTTATATGATGTATAATTCAAAGTTTCATTACTCAAAAGTTTTAAGAATTGCATTTTTAGTAAAAGGATCGGATCGGGTTTTTCACATGTATCGGCCCGATCTGATATTTAATATCGGCACAGCCCTAGTTTTTTGACATGCCTGGTGGTAATGTAAAAGTATTCACATGATCCTTCAAAATTTGCCAATAAAGAATATGTAGTTGGACAAGGCCAAACCGCTAACGCTCCCGCTCCCTCGTTCGCGCAGGCCTGACTGTAATATTGAATAATTGTAATATTTTCAATTGTCCCCCACACTGTCTGATAGTAATACATTATTTTTTTAAAATGTTTTATAAAATAAAAATGTAGAGAGATGTAAATTACCTTCTTGACCCGTGTTATTTTTCTAGATATATAATTTTATATATTACCAGCTGATGGCGCTCTTTCATGAATGACAGGTTATTCGTTGATGAATGAAATCAAAAACTACCCCCCCCCCCCCCCCATTTTCCTCCTTTATATTTGATGATGGACGAATCAGAAATTTTCCTGCCTTGTTGAGGTGATGATTGAGAAGGGTTATTCTAAAATTTTCTAATATTTTTATAAAAACATGTCTAAATGAACTCTATATATTTAGTACCGTTTAACTCATAATTTTTATGAATTTGTTAATTTATATAACCTAAAATCTTGCTAGATGGATAGTTTTATAATTTATTTCTCGATTATTCCCCCAGCAAGACCCTCATCTCAAACCCCTTTTAAATTATAATTAGTTAATGATATTCTTAAATTTAATTAAAGTTCGAATAAGATATAAGTAAAAATGATTCTTAAATTTGATTGCTAATTAGTTACTTTTTTAAAAAAAAATTCATTGCACTGTTGATTTTTTTTTTACAGTTGCACTAACTGCCAGAAATAGGAAGCATTTGGCAAATCCAACTAGTACGATACTCAGTTAATAGCGTAGCTAAAAATGTATCTGTAAATAGATACCGTTAAAATGTATCTGTAAATGGAATACAGCTAACAAGTGTATCTAGATTAAAATATGTAGGACCTAGAAGATAAGAAAAATTCAAAAATTTTGCATCATTGTTTTGATAGTTAGAGCGAATAATGGCGGTAGCAAGTTTGTGTTTTAAGAAGAGGGATTCCTTAGGCTGGTCGGTTTTTTTCACGAATCCTTTTGCCTAATTCTTTAAAAAATCGTTGAGCTTTGCTACCGAAGGTGGTGAGAATTGAGCAGGCGATGGGTATGAATAAGGAAGAAGGGTCTATGGAACTGTACTTGATGATTTTCCGGGATTCTGCGAGGGCGAGGGCATCGACGTTATGGTTAGATGGTGCATTTGGGTCAATGCAAGTGAAGTCCCAAACCAGGAGCTGACCCCTTGACCAGGGGAACAAGGACATTCCATCAGGACGTTTTCCATTGGTTCTGAAAATTCCGGTTGGTTCAAGTCTAGATGGAATGCCTGCTGATTTGAGGGCGTGTAGTATGATGTCATTGCATTTGGTGTGCCGTGAAAAACGGCCTCGACAAAAGCGACAATGGAGACAATGTCTACCCTTGCTATCGACGCTGGTTTCGCAATGTTTACACTGGTACAGTGGACCACTTTCGCCGGATTCCAATTGCAAATCTTAGCTCGTCAATGGAAATCAACAAATCAAAGTTGTTAGAGGATATGGTTTCTAGAACGTAGCCAGATCTTTGGTTAAATTGGTGAAAAACTGTGAGATGGTCATCGTGAAGGCTCGATTTTAGATAAGCGACGGAGCATTCGTTGAGTGAAATATCTCAGTCTCTCTGTGAACACGAGGTCGTGGAGTGTTTGGGACAACGGATTTGTGCCAATTAGTCAGGGCTTCAGCCAATAAGGAGTCAGGAAAGTGAGAAAGCTGAAAGACGGGAAGCGATGAATCTACTAATGGCGTTGATCGCAGGGGTAGACATTGCCTCCTTTTCCGCTTTTGTCGAGGCCGTTTTCCACGGCACACCAAATGCAACGACATCATACTACGTACCCTCAAATCCGCGGGAATTCCATCTAGACTTGAACCGATCGGCATTTTAGAAGAGATGGAAAACGTCCTGATGGAATGTCCTTGATTCCCTGGTCAAGGGGTCAGCTCCTGGTTTAAGATTTCCCCTGCATTGATCCAAACGCACCATCTAACCACAACGTCGATGCCGCCCCCCTAGCAGAATCCCGGAAAATTATCAGGTACAGTTTCCATAGACCCCTCTTCCTTATTCAAACCCATCGCCCGCTCCATTCTCGCCACCTTCGGTAGCGAAGCTCAATGTTTTTTTTTAAAAAATAATTAGGCCAACGGATTCGTGAAAAAAACCGACCAGCCTGAGGAATCCCTTTGCTTACGACAAAGGCTTGCTTCCGCCACTATTCGCTCTAACTTTCTAAGTTTTATCTCTTCCATCGAATAATCTTCCACGTCCATGCTTTCTTTCTTCCCATCTCTTTCCTAGTTTTCATTTATTTTTTTTATCCCTTATCCTTTTCCGTAAATTCTATTTTTATATTTTTGACTAGGGATGTACCGATATTTTTATCGAACCGGAAACCTATTTTAAAATATCGGTTATCGGCCAATATTATAAAATTTGCCGATCCGATATAAAATGGCTTCTTTTTAACAAAAATAAAATTTTATAAATTTTTTTTTTAAAAAGGTTATATCTAAAATCATTTATTTTGATAAATAAAATCGAAATCCATATTTATTTTAATAATAATAATTAATTAATAAACATTCTGCCAAATTGATTTTTTTTTGCGCATTCTGTTTATAAAATTGTGCGATAACCTCTTCAGAATCTGTTTTTAGTGAAGCTGGTGATATTGACAGTTACCATCGCCGCAAGCTGACCTCTGATAAATTGGAAATTTTGGTATTTCTAAAAAGAAATCTTCGATACATTAATGTTAAATATTATTTTTAAATATTTATTTCAAATTTCATGATATATTTGTTTATTACTTATTCTGTATACAGATCAATGTTGTTACTTATTATATAAAAGTGATTTAACAATAAAAAATATTTTATATACTTTTAGAATAGCAATATTGAATATGAACTGTAACCGATCATTATAATTATATTTAAATGACGTAAGTTATGGTATAATTAAATTATAGATGTTATACTAATAAAAAGTATATTGCAAATTAAAACCATTGGTATCTTTACAGAATAGAATACAAAATTACAAAATTAGATATGATACCGGATCGGTAATCGGCCGATATCAATTTAATACCGATCGGATCGGTAATCAGCCGATATCAATTTACTATCGGATCAGATCGGCCTCCCAAAAGTGATATCGGTACACCCCTATTTTTGACCTTTATTAATTTTATCTTAGAAAAAAAAACTGAATTATTTGCTATTACCTTTTGATAACATATTATATCAGCTACTATTCAAATAACATAAACCAATGACCAAAAAAAAAACTTTAATTGCAATACGTGAAATATAATTTTATCAATTAAAGAATAAACAGATGTTTAATTTGTGTCCTACATTTGAATAATAAAGAAATTGACAAAATTTGAACAAAATTTAATAGGAAAATCTAAAAAAAAATTATTCATTATTTAAATTTGTGAAAGTTCCCTTCACACATTTTATTAATTTTTTTCCCGCTATTTTGAATATAGACTAACTATAATTATTTTTAAAGTATAATTTTGCTCAAAATTTTAGTATATAAACTTTTATAATATTTTGATTAGGAATTTAAATATTTAGTTAATAAAAATAAAGATTATATATAAATTATTTATGATTCATGTTTTATAATCACAATGATTACTTATTTAATAAAAAAAATTTTTTTTTTTCTAGAACCATCTATCTCAAATCAAACGGAAAATATATCTTCGCCATGAAAATGAAATGAGCACCTAATTTTCTTTATTTTTTTTGCCAATTATTGTATAAATATTATAAGTTACAATTACATTTGATAATAAAACCTAGACTGACGATGCATTCATTCATAATGCATATGCAAATCAGCTGGACCCGCCATTTTGATAACCCGTATATTAATTAGTCTCCATGTTGAAAACTAAACTATTAAATTGATAACTCGCTTCCCCTTATTATATCCATGATCAGGCAATTCCTTTAATAAAGTTTGCGTCAGACATGGGGAATAAATTTTTTAATAATGATACGGGTAAACAAAAAGGCGTCCCCAGCTGTTTTTTATCGATGTTACACTTTTTAATAAATGTATCGTCAGTCTAGGTATTATTATAATCTCATTGGATAAGAATTTCTAAAAACTTTTCACAAAAAAAATATTATAAATAATCTATCATTGTTAATAATGGATATCTACACTTGTTATTTGAAGATAAAAAAAACCAACTTTACATATATATACATATTTCCTTCTTTCTTTCATACATAGAAAATATATTTTATAACATCATTTTGTTTTACTCAATATAGAAGATACATTTATATTTATTGCATTAAGAATACAATGTATATTTTTTTTATTAAATGAATGAATATTTTATAGAGATTTTTTTTTAAAAAGTCACATCACATAAAACAATATACTTATTTATATATATATAAATAATTTTTACACTTATTATATAAATAACGATATACAAATTAAAGAAACGCATCGTGTACGCATAATTTTTTTATTAATTTTAAAAGTAACGTTTGAAAATATAGCTAAGAGGTATAAGAATCGTTTACTATTAAGACCCAACAGTCACATAATTTAACTTAAAGAAAAAATAAAATAAATATAAATTGAAAAAAAATATCCCTAAATTATGTGTACTCCTGGTATTCCGATACTTTTTTTGGTAAGATTTGCATATTCCCAAGGAAAGGTTTAGCGTTCCTTTATTTTTATACCATGTCGGATCTTGTGATGATAGGATTTGTAATCCATTTTTTCCCGTCTTCTAACCCGTTGAGATCCCTAGTCTTCTGTTCATGATAGGACGGGGGTATACCCGCCATAGAACTTTTTCTTATCTCGTCAGCAGATAGGTCGGGTCTGAAGAGGATTTTAACTTTCTATATAAAAAAAAATATGAATTTATATCAGAGGAACCAGCAGGCAAAATATGTAAGCCATTTCAGGGTCACCTGACCCGAGTTTAAAAAGAATTCAGTCAGTAGTTTAATTCATTTTAATTTATATCATAATTTTGCACTTGTATCTAATATTTTACACGTTACTTTCCTTAGAGACAGGCGGCCTTATTAAGAAAATATTTTTAATCATGATTTTACATCTTTAAAGGTATGGGCACTGGTTGTGCACCATAGGTAAATGGCATAGCCAGGAATGCAAAGCATAGACGAGAAAGCCATCAGCCACCCCACGATATGCGCCCAAACCGGGTATTCGTAATCGATATATTTGATGGGAACGTGCTTGATGAGACCGAAGAAAAACACTCCCTTTTTATGATTTGAAATAAATATTTGTTTTTTAAAAGTCTAGTACATGCCCCGCAAGTCCCCCTTTTGGGGAGAGATATTAAAAAAAACATAAAAATTTGTTTTTAACGTATTAGTCTAATTCGCCAGTGATGGCGAACCCGCTTAGTTTGAAATAAAATCATATCTCGTAAAGGTCCAAGTAGACCGGGCTCAGATCTGCCCCTTATCCGGTCCTTACTTATAAATCCGAAAAAAAATAATATCGGTTGATCCCTTTCCTTAACTATTATCAAATTGAAGATCACATTTCCTGGCATATTTTTATTATAAAGGGTCATCCAAAAAAAAATATACAATTTTTGCCAGTGGTATCCATAAACAATTATTTTCATAAGATTGTTTTGGTTGTTAAAAAAAGTTCATGATTTAGCCAATTCTATTCCAAAATCGCTAAAAAAAAAATTCTAGAATTTCGCTTATTTTTTTTAAAGGCTCTAATTCCGAAATCGGTCCTTATAAAGGTTCTAGATTTAGCCTAATTTTTTCTTTATAGCGGTATTCCAGAGCCTGTTCTAGAAAACAGTTCTAGATTTAGGCTAAGTTATTTTTTTTTCAAGAAAAGTTATTGAGAATGAATAAAACAATTTAATTTTTTTTTAATATTGAAATAATTAAAATTAAAAACACATAATTCGTCAGCTGAGTATTATAGTGTTCTATGTCCATTTTTGAAATTTTTTTTCAAGTAGAGCATTAAAGATATTTATTGTATTTTAGATAGGAGGTCACGCCACGAGAAGAAAGAAGACGAAGGATTATTCAAAATTATATTTTGACATTTTTATTGGTGATAAGGAAGAATACGGCACTGAGGGTGGGTGTCTGGTTTCGACTTTTAGCAGAGACCTGCAGGCCCAACCCGGGTACACGGGCCGTATTTCGATTTTTCAAATATACCCGGCCGGGGCTAAATTTTTTATCCGAGCCTGGCCGTATATTTTAAATCCAAATATTTGAAATAGGCCTTATTTATTAGCTATAAAAATCAAAAATACAATATATTTTTAAAAATTTCGGGCCGGGTCTGAAATATTTTTTTAAAAAAAAGCCGGAGCCGGGCCTGAAAATATAAAATCCGGTCCAAGCAGAAAACTTTTTTTAAAAAAGATACGGGCCTGACCGCGTAAATGGTTGCAGGTCTCTGCTTTTTAGTAAAAAAGAAAATTAGATAAGAAAAATAACAATTCCACCAAATCACTTAAAACAAACCAAAGTAGGATGTCAGCTTTTTAGAGTTGTAGATCAAACGACAGATACTCAAGTCGAATCAGGGCACAGTCTTGCAGATTGATTTACCGAAATAATAACAGCTGACGAAACGTACATATATATAAAAATGATCATATTTTAAAATTTATTTTTAATTTGCTCGTAAATTCGTGAAATAAATTTATGATTATTGTCAGTAATTAAGAGGTCATAGCTCCTATTCCGATTTTTTTTAAAAAAAAGTTATTCCACAGTTCACACTCTTTAAGGTTCGGCTACCGGGTTTTAAATGTCATCTTCATTATTAGATCGCATTAAATAAATTAAGCATGATCTGAATGTATGATCCCGTGATACATTTTAGAGATAAAATTCTTCCACGATTGCTCCGCAATTTTCTTTAACGGGCTTGGTGGGATAGGGTGAATAAATTTTTGTCGTTGGTGACTACTTTATGGCCTCAATGCGCAAGAATTCCACAACTAGAACTAATGTTATTTTTTTTTATCTTGGGTTTATTATTACCAATTGAATTTCCAGTAGCACCAAATATTACAGCGTTTAATACTAACTGCTTGTAGCTGTTGAAACAAGAAGGACCCCCCCCTCTTAAATTTAATATAATACATCAAAATGTCAGTTATTTATCTGATCAGGGGAATTAAGTTTTCCTTGATGCATACGATGAAATGGATCATCACATGGGTGATTGTTTAAGAAACGTTGTTGTTGGATATTTGGAGTGAAGATATTGGATTAATTGCCGAGAAGATGTCAGCTGGGAAGAACAAAGAATGGACTATTTGGGATGAAGCACATATGAAAGCTGGCATAATCGTATATGATTTATAACGCGTCTTTATTAATTCTTAACTCCACGCGTAAAAATATGTAGAAATAATTTAAAAAAAATAAACTATTTACCACGCAAACTGCCGGGGTAAAAAGGACCCAGCAATATTTGAAGTAGGCGCAGGGGTAATAACCAATCATCTCCCTGATATCGTCCCAAAAATGATTGACGCCTAAAAGAAAGAATTTTAAAATTTTGAATCACGCATGTGTTGTATTAACCATATGACCAGGATATCGCTATGCATTCAAAAAATATTAGCCACAAAAGGCACGTCCCGCTTGCCGCGTATTGGTCCAATATTTGAAACACGTACATTCCGCCCTGTAATATATATACATATACCTCCTATAATATATTTATAATTTATGCTTTAAAGTGAAATATAGAAACAGGAAATGGGATCATAAGTTGCGTAGGCAAGAGCACCCCCCCCCCCTCCCCACTTATTTGCGATCCTTCCCCTACCCTCCAAGAAGATTAATGAAAAGGCATTTTAAAGACCAATTATATGGCATACGTTGGTGATCATGAACAGACCCACAGCATAACTAATGAGACAAACTATAGCTATGAAGAGCTCTTTCCTTTTTCTCAAGTAAGTCGGCCACTCATCTATGCACGCCGTTATGAATCCTTCCATTGTACAGAACTGTAAATTAAAAAAAAATTAATTATATCAATTTATTATTCAGAGTGTCACTCCCAGGCTTCTTCTTTTTTTTTTTTATACTTTTGGTAAAGCGATTACATATTATGCAATTTTATACGAAAAACTTAGGTATTATTTTGTATGGAGTGACGGTCAAACATCCATAATTTTTAAGACCGAACGCGCCCCTATTACGCTACTCGATCGGACGCTTCTCAAAGACGCCAAATCTTGAACGGAACGCGTTCACTCCTATTCCACCCAATAATATTTTTATATAAGATAACATAATTATTTTTTTTTTTAAAGTCACATATTGATAAATAATAATTTTTAAGTCACATATTATGCTCATTTTATTTTCATATAAGACGTAGTGTCTTTTTAGAGGGTTTACTAAAAAAGTATATATATATACGTCATATGGGATTCGGATATCCGCGAGGATTCGGAATCTCTCAATTTTAAATCATTTACCGAGAGCCATTTAAAAAATTTTAGAATCCTATTTACCCGGAAATGCATTCTAGCATGTGTAGAGTAATCATGGGTAAAATTTATAAGGTAAATACTCTACACATGCTGGAATATATTTCCGGTTAAAATTGAGAGATTCCGAAATCCCCGCGGATTCCTAATCCTCATGCGACATATATATACTCTGTTTACGTACGATTATACATTCTAAATTAATTTCTTAAAAATTAATTTTTTTGTGTGATCGACTTTACAATATACATTAATGGCGAAAAAATAAATAATTAGTTTTATATACTTGACTATCTAACCCTATCAAAAACAGCATTATGAAGAAGAAGCAAGACCACATGGAAGAAATTGGGAGTTCCGAAATCGCGGATGGGTACACCAAAAACGCTAGGCCTGGTCCTATCGATTTATGAATGAAAAGAAAAGGAAATATATCATTTAGAGTGATTTCTTAGTTTAGACTCTCAAAACCCCCATTTCTTACTACAACGAAAATGAATTGAGAAATATGAAATAATTTTTATTATTCATTATATATATAGCAGTTACATCTTTGTATCGTATCTTGTTAAAGTAATTATTATCAGTTACTTTTATAACGTGTATCAAAGATTATAACCAAAATAATATTGTGTAGGACTAGGATTTAGATCATAGATGCCAGAAAGATTTTGGCTTCTACTCACCAAATCTTGAGGATTATACACAATTTTATTTTGGCTAAAATCTAATCGGGGGCTGTTTTTGAAAATCGATACAAATTGAATTTTTTAACAACACCTAGACGTATCCTAATGTATATACATTATAAGGCAATAAATTAAATTTTATTGTTAGCTTTCCTTCATTTAAAACAGTTGTCCTTATTCAAAATTCATAGAGTTTTTCATTTTTTTTTGATAATATTATAGAATATCCTAAGAATCTCTTTGATATCAAATAAGAGCACTGTTAGTAAAAAACGAATGGTATTACTTTTTTATCGCGAAAATGAGTTATTAAAATGTAGAGATATATATATTCTGTTTTCTTTAAAAGGTATACAAAAATATATTTTTTTAAATAAAAACGCATTGGCGGACTTAACTATTCACAGCACCAAAACCTGGGCAATACCCACGTTATATAGGAACCTATGAATCAACTGACTCTTCCTTATCCAAACTAGCATAATGACACATACATGATAGAATTCCAATCCTAAATTCGTCTGAATTTCTAACAACTGTTAAAAGAGATATAATAGGAAACATGAACTCTTTCTTATCCAAACCAGCGTAATGAAACATACATGATAGAATGACTCCAGCCCTAAATTCGTCAGAATTTCTAACAACTGTTAAAAGGGATATAATAGGAAATAGTTATCTCTTCCTTATCTAAACTAGTATAATGATACATACATGACAGAATGACTCCAGTCCTAAATTAGTCTTATTACCTTTGCATTTCAAATGTGAAATAATTTTTTAAATACGTTTAAGAATTTTTTTTTTTTATATTCTACCACCTACCCTAAATTTAAAAAAAAAGTGATGTATCGAGGCATCAGCACTGGGTAGAATGTCATAGGTGACAAGTAGAATTGCGGAAGAGGTTGGTATAAATCATGGTAAACTGTACGGGATCTTTAATGTTTACCAGCTGACAAACACAAGTTTAGCTCAACCAATAATAACTTTCATCATTAGCACATTGTATAAAAAGTAATGTCAGAAAAAGGGTTGTGCTTGCTTTCCTTTAAGAAGTGTGGTTCCAACTCAAATTTTTCCTGATCAGCCCTGATCTTATTTTGAACAGACACTTTTCTGGGCTCATTTTCGATATTAATTAGAGACCTGCAGCGCTGTCCCGTGTAGCCGGGTAGCGCAAATGGTACCACTGTCGGTCTCCGATTTTAATTAACAAAACTTGATAGACATAAGAAGACTAGTGAGCCCATTTTTGAAAAAAAACGGCTAACCAAATATTTAAGCCAGAAAAATGTATATCTAAACCTCTAAATTTCGCTAATAAATGTCGTCACCTTTGTGACATCTACGAGCAGGTCTGTCTAACATTTTTCTGAGATAAAATATTGAGTTGGCGCCGTTTTCAAAAATCGGCGCCAATAAACGCCCTTTAAACAACACTAATGAAGACGCATAATATTACCCCCCCCCCCCCCTTTGACAAACGAATTAAGAAAAGGGTTAAAAAAATTATAAAATAAATAATACTATATTGTAACCTGACGCGGCGACTTCTCCCACCGGTTTATTTTGCGTCACCGACATAAATCCTATAACCGAAAATATCACGACTCCCGCAATCAGACTCGTGCAACTATTGATGGTACAAATCAATAACGAATCTCTGATTGGTTAACGTTTATTTTATTTATTTTTGTTTTAGTGGTGGTGGGATGGGGGGGGGGTGGGGAATAATAATTAGTTAGTTTATAATATAAATCAATGAGTGTATGGTAAGTGAGCAGTCACTGAGTCATTTATGAATGACTCAGCCGCCACTCACTAAAGTGTGCATACATTGAAGTCCACCAATGGAACGGCAACCTAGGACTTTAAGTACCGTTTTTGTACTTTTGAATGATACAAAATAATTTTAACATCGGTTTAAAGTTTCATGTAAAATTTAAAAATTTTTTTTTAAAAAAAAAACAATTATAAATTTAATTTATTTTATATTTTTATTTTTAAAATCAATATTTAATTTGAAATTATATATATTTAAATAAGGAAAAAAAATACGGTTTTGTATTTGATACGTAAAAAAAATAGTTGTTATAATTTTGCAAAAAAAATATAATTAAATTAAGTTCCTTATTGCAAATAAAATAGAAAAAAAAAGAGAGAAATTAACCTAGAAAAATTATTGTCTTTTTTTTAAAAAAAAAATATATATATAAATGAAAACCTGAAAACATTGTTGTGAAGTTTGTTGTAACTGCCAAGGGCTATTAGGGTCCCTAGTCCCAGACCGTAAGAGAAGAATATCTGAGTTACGGCGTCTACCCAGACCTAAAAAATTTATTAAAAACTATTTAGTAATCAAGCTGCTAATTTTTTAGGCGAAGATGTCGTGGTTTAAAAAATTTTTTTTTGGTTATATAAAGGTATAACTTACGACCAGTAAAAAGAAAGAATTCAAGGAATAGGTAAACCGGGGAAAAATTGTGATTAAAATATATGATAACCATTGTGAATTCTAAACTAGTTATCGGCATCGGACCCAATTTTTAGAGCCTGGCCGGAAATATTTTTCAAAAGAGTTTTGCCGGCCCGACCAGAACCCGAAATTTTTTCGGCGCGAATTTATTAAAATATAGGAATTAAGAGTTTTAAAATATTATAATTAACTCAAAATAAAAGACATATGTGTCACGTGGCGTCTAGTTTCTATAAATAAAATCTCGTATTTTTATTTTACACAAAAAATTGCACATAAAAAATGATAAATTTAAGATATATTTTAGGCCGGGCTCGAGGCCATTAGGACCGGGCCGGTTTCGGGAGTTTACGGGCCGGGTTTACTTTTGCGGATCTTGAATATGAACCGTATCATTTAACGAACAATACATTCTTAAAATGTGTGTGTTTAATGCTGAAATCGTAGTTCTTACTTCATCATCATTTTTGGCCACTTTAAACAAACATATAGAATTAATGTTAGAGGTTATTTGGACCTTAAAATTAAGAAAAATATTTTTTTAGTGGAAATGAAGACTAATAGTGCATACAAATTGAACGCTTCAAAACGCAAAATTTCAAAACGCAAAACAAAGAAAAACGTAAACGCAAGCTATGTTTAAATTGAACCGTTAATTAATATTTTTTTTATTAAATATGAAAACGTCTAATTTTAAAACGAAAAAAAAAATGCTGTCCAAAAGTGCATTATTCGCGTTTTGAAACGCTGCGATAAAACGTTCAATTCTTGCGTCACTATGTAAAGGAAAATCTTCTGAATCTTCTTTTTCCCTAACAAATTTTGATTAGAATTTCTTCATTTGTAAACAGGATTAAAATGCTTCTTTTTTTTTTCAATGTCGACACTAGTGTTGTTAAAAACTTTGACCATCTCTATCGTAGCTTTAATCAAGCCTTTAGCCTAAAAAAATTGAATTAAGCCTCTAAGACGAGTCTCAACTACTTGAAGATTAATCAGAATATTTCTGGATAAAAATATGGCTATGCTATTTTTTATAGTCGACCAATAGGAAGGAAGGAAGGAAGGAAGGAAGGAAGGAAGTAGTTTAACAACACTAGCTCGACACATTATATATATATATTGTACTTGAGAATCCTTAAGTTTCGAGAGATTCGGTGTCAAATAATATTTGAGTCCTACGCCAGCACCGGGTAAAGTGACACCCTTGATCAACAATATAAACATGAAGAAATACGGCGATAACGCGGTGAACCAAACAACCTAACCCGAAATGAATGAATGAAAAAAACATAACTATGTGTTTACGATGATAAAAAAATTTGATAGAGTATAAAAAACAACCAGAATATTTAGACGATGAAGAATCCCCCCCCCTAAGGATTCATGATATTCTGTGAAAGCAGAGTAACCATTCCATTCCTAGTTAGCGGGAATTAGCGGAGTTTCGCCGCCAATTTGCGCTAACTATGAATGAGGGGTTATGTTAACTCATCGACAAAAAAAATAATATTATAATTTCATTAATCGCGTTTTTCCAAGATTATTTTTCGTTTTTAAAAAAAGTTGCCAAAAAAATAAAATAAGGAATATATTTGTTACAATTTATATTTATAATCAATAATATATTCATATAATCTTTAAAATTCTAAATGTTAAAGCTAATAATGGAAGTAGGTTGAATGGTCTTTACTTTTCCGGTCCATTTGACCCCTTTCCATATGGAAAAATAACAAATAACCCAGGCCAAGAGTAGCGTTAGCGCCAATTCCCATCTCACGGTTCCGACCTCTTCGATTCCAGAACTGATTTGTAACACTTTGCGTCTAATTTTATTATTTATTTCAAATTAATAAAATTGAGTAGCTTCAAATGAGAATCTATATCCTATCTAAAAAAAAAATGGATTCTATTTCCTGTTTCGAATGGTTCTCCTTCCGGTTTTCCTAAAAAAAATTTAAAAAAGAGGGGGGTGGGTTAGGGTTCATAAATTTTGTGTGGTTCCCAGGGTTCCAAGGTTCCAATTTCTAAACTCTTGTTAAATATAAAAAAAATATATATAAATCCACTAAAAATGAATCGCGTAACATTTTTGGGCGATATAAATAATTTGAAGTTCGCTTTTGTCCGAACCTGTCCCAAAAATGTATTTCACTTCCGGTTCTTAGGTCTGTTCCGGCTCGGAGTGCTTCGGTTCCGAACCTTGCTCGGTATATTTCTATATCAGGGTATTAGTTAAAAATTCCGCATTCCCTAGAGCGTAGTTCTAGTACGGACAGATCGAATCAGAGTTCTGATACAGGAACTATGTATATATTTGTAAAAGGACTTATAAAAAAAAGAAGGTTATATTAAAAGACTAAAAGACTCCCAATATTCTTTGACGGGTGAGTTGAAGTCGGACGAATTTATCCATCTCAGCGAACCGCCCACTTTGATAGGGCACATCTCGTATCGCGGACTCGCTAGATCTCCCGGAAAATACGGCTTGGGATCTAAAGAATCCCGGAAAATAATTTTGGAAGTCCGAGGATCGACGGGAAAGCGACTGCAGTTCAGGGGCAATTGCTGGGTGTGGGACAGACAATACGGCGTGTTCCACCAGTTGTTGCAACTTTTCCAGGGTAAGGTTTTGGTCAAGGAGGCCACGAAATAGAATATCGCGTAGCTCAAAATGACGATGTAGTACACGTTAAGCCAACACGACATAACGGCAGCCGCGTATCCCACTCCTTTTTTTTTGCGTAACATTTAATTTGTCATGAAATTTAAAAAAAAATGCAATATATATATAATAAATCAATTTTTATAAATTTAATTTTTTTCGAAATGTTTTACAAAATTAGGTTTAAAATGATTTAAATATAGCAAGTGTTTTTTTCCCCGCGTTTTTTTACATTCGAAAAAAACAAAACAAATTTTCTATGTTTTTTTCGTTTTTTTTATTGTTTTTTTTTAGTTAGAATTTTTTTCTTTTTTATGAGAATTTGAAATTGCACAATATTTCAATTGCTTGGCAGGAAAATAATATATGTGTACAAAATATGAATATAAACCTTTAAAAATTGGGCAAATTTTCCAGACCCCGAGTCCGCCTATGGAAAGGTACTGTCCCAACGCTGTCTCCAGGAAATACATCGGTATACCACAACATATGACCGTTAAACCGTACGGAATCAAAAAGGCTCCTTGATTTAAGATATAAAGATATGTATATAAATATTTTATTGATATAAGCGTTTAATTAATAAGTAAAACGCGTTTTGTTTAAGCGTTGCGTTATTACAAAATAAATCCAGTAAATAGGTACATAAATTTATAAATATGAAGGCGTTATGATTTTAAAACGCGGATATTGAAAAAAAACATATGTTGCGATTGCAATTGTAGAAAAAATTAGCGAATTCGAAAAATAAATTATCTCCATTTTAAACTTTAAATTAAATTAGTTTTTTTTTTAAAAACTGGATCAGCTGTCAAACGTTTCCGTTAAACAACGCAACGCTTGAAGATGACAAGTGTGAAACGACCTATAGAATTATTAGCGGAGAAAATAATATACGCCCTGCATGTTTTTTTTTATTAAAGAATAAAATATTATACGATTAACAGACACGAGCAAGAATATTTTTTGATAGGCGTATAGAGACACTTCAAAGTACGACGAATTCTATTAGCGTGTTCTAAAACCCGCTCCCCCCCATAAATATCTAGGACACGCTAGATGATAATTTATTCGTTTTTTGAGGAAGTTGGGGGGGGGGGGTTGAGCTTCCGTTGATTTCTCTACCTGCTAAGAAACCTGCTCTTAGACCCCTTTCAGGGAAAGAGGAAATATTATTATTGGAGGGAGTGAAAATGGTAACCAAAAAAATCCCTAAATCCACGTCGAAGCCTAAAAATTTGATTTTTTTTTGTGGGGATCGTCTAATATATTTTTGCTTCCTAAAGAAAAATATAATTTGTAAATGTTCATTTAAATTCGTGTATTCCATCCTCGGATTCAGAAAATCTTACTATTTTTTTTAATTATTTTTTCACTTTTAATAAGTCATAATAATCAGATTATTAAAAAATTAATAAAAAAAAAATTTATTTTTTTAATGGTTAAAATACATTTAATTTTTATTACAAAAATATATCTAGAAAAGACATTAGTTCTATGAAAAGTTTTGTTGGACTACAGATCCCCCCCCTTTAACTATAGTTCCACAAAAAAAATACGCATAATTTTAAAATTTGCTAAGTTATTAATAAAATGTAAAAAAATTAATTAATTTCAGTTGGAATTTTAAAAATTAAATTTTTTTTTTAAAAAAAAGATAAAAAATAAATACTCTTATATAGATTAAATTAAAATTAATTGTTATTTGTTTTTTAATCTCTTTTGTATTATGAAATAGAAAAAAAAAAGAAATAATCGTTTGGTTTCTACCATTTTTTTTATTATATCCATAATCTATATGGCTACTGTATAGTATCATTATCGTGTAATCTTCAGCTGATTCAAAATTTCTCCTATTTCTTATTGGTTCTTCAGTTTTTTCCTGCTTAATCTTCAGCTGATTCAAATTTTTTCCTAATTTCTTATTGGTTCTTCAGTTTTCTCCAGCTATCTCTCATTGCTATTACCTATTGGAAGTTAAAGAAATAATGGTTTCGTTCCATATTTTTATTATATCCTTTATCTATATGGAACTGTATAGTTACATAAGTAATCTTCAGCCGATTTAAAATTTCTCCTATTTCTTATTGATTCTTCAGTTTTCTTCTGCTATCTCTCATTGCTATACCTATTGGAAGTTAAAGAAATAATGGTTTCGTTCCATATTTTTATTATATCCTTTATCTATATGGAACTGTATAGTTACATAAGTAATCTACAGCCGATTTAAAATTTCTCCTATTTCTTATTGATTCTTCAGTTTTCTTCTGCTATCTCTCATTGCTATACCTATTGGAAGTTAAAGAAATAATGGTTTTGTTTCCACTTTTTTAATTATATCCTTTATCTATATGGAACTGTACAATTACATTATCGTGTAATCTTCAGCCGATTCAAACTTTCCCCTCTTTCTTATTGGTTTTTCAGTTTTTCCTGCTTAATCTTCAGCTGATTCAAAATTTCTCCTAATTTCTTATTGGTTCTTCAGTTTTCTCCTGCTATCTCATTACTATTACCTGTTGGAGTTGGTATATAGTATTATTTTTTCGGAGAGTTGATATATTACCAAATGACATATAATAATACCTAGGCAGACAAATGCATTCATAAGATTGCATTTGGAAGCGTCTTTGAATTCAAATCAGCTGGACCCGCCATTTTGTTAACCCATATAGTAATTATTCTCATGTTAAAAAACTATTATTGAATTGATAACTTGCTTCCTTATTATGTCCATGAATCAGGAAGTTCCTTAATGAAGTTCGAGATATAATGAATAAATTGGCCTCTGTTTAAAAATTTTAATAATGATATGGGTAATCAAAATGGCGTCCTCAGCTGTTTTTTCATCGATGTACACTTTTAATGAAAGCATCGACAGTCTAGTTATTATTATTTGTCATTGTATATTACATACAATATACTTTAATCATCCAACCACATTAATTTGCCAAAATTATTTTATCTTTTTTTTAAAAAAAATAATCTATATTGTTTCCTAAAAATATCGATATATATAAACCAAAGTTAAAATATAATTCATATCACTCATCCACTAGTCAAACGATTTACTACTGCCTTGGGACTACACGAAAATCATCATCAGCTATAGAAAAGCTGAGATTTACTTTAAAAAAAAACAAATATGCTGGCTTTACAAGTACTGCTTCCTGCCAATAGAGTCATCACCCAACACTCTTAGAATGCTGGGTACCTAGATACTCGTACTCATAAAAATTAGGCGGAAAGGAAATCCAAAATATTGGAGATCCCAAAGAAAGGATTCTCTCTCGGTTAAATCTGTATTTTCAGATGATTTCATTCACTAAAGTAAATTTCTTTTATACTGTTTATGAGGGGTTTATGAATCCATGTCTTTGGAAAATTTTGCAATGTAGAGGATAATGTGCGTTCGATGGGTTAAAGGTTGCATTTAAAGATACTATTTTGCATCCTAAACTGATGCCTATGGAGGAGGCTTATCCAGAAAAGTGGAGTTCCTAAATTGGGTGGAAAAAGCTATCCAGTCATTCATATCAGCTTTTAAATATTTGCGTATTGAAAATATACGTTTTCCCTATATAGCAGCTACTGAAAGCAGGGTGATCTTATCTTTTCCGGAGAAATATTGAAAGGACGTATCGAGTTTAGTGTCACCCCGGATTGAAAGGCCCGGGCATGAATAATACTAATTTTTTTATAAAATATTAAAGTATAATAAAAAAAATTTACATTATGATTTATTGTGACTATTTAACCCCCTGGCCACTTATGACCTTTCCTATTTATTGATTAATAAAGAATCTAAATTTAAATTTTACAAAAAAAAATTTTTTTTTTTGGGGGGGGGTGGTAAAATATAGTTTCAAAAAGTGTAAAGATTTCTAATCTATATAAAAATATTAAAAAATTTTAAATATCATTATTTCGCCTATAGCGACTTTGGTTCATTTATTGGATTAGGGCCGCGTTGATTAAAAATAGTGTTTTCAGTGGTCCGGTCTAGTTCGGTCTCATCTGACTACTGAGTCTGACCACGGCCTTGTCCGGTTCAACTGAAGACCGATTAAAAAAAGAGAAAAGTTTACTACCAATTGCTTTTTTTAAAAATTAATTTAAAAATAATTTGATTAATTAATTATGGAAAATCATATAATTGAAAAAACCTTTAATTATTTATAGATTTAAACTGCTCGTATTTTAAAAATTTTCCTTTTGAAGCAAATCGTATACAAAATTATACAACCAACCAACAGATTATTTTAAAATAACGAAATTTTGAAAAAATCCGGGCGCTGCCAATTTCAGCAAATAGCGGACCGGGTTTAAAAATAATATTTTCCTTCAAAACCGGACCGGGTCGGGCCGGGTAATAGGTATAACCTATGCAGGTTCTGATATTTTTGAGCCTAAACAAAACACGAAACATAGAATATTTTGATTTCGATAATCTAACACTTTAATTAAAGATATATATTTAAATATTAATTGGAAATTAAATTACATGTAAGTATTTATTTATTTAATTGTATTTTTTTTAAAAAAAACATTCAAAAAAACATTTGATCTAACAAGGAAAAAAATGAATTGTTTCTATATATATATTTTTTTACGGTTAAATATCAGTATTAAAAACAAAATATCAAAAATATTTTTTTTATATCGTGTCATAATAATTACATTCTGTATTTATTCCCCTTCTATATCTTATTTTAATATGGTGTATGATGGTATATTTTATCAAATATATCATTTTCGTATCAATGACAAGGAAATACTCATAAGTCATCCACATCTCATTTAAAAAGAATAGTTATTTTATTACTCCCTTAGAAAAATCATATTATATAAATGTATCGTTTTAACGTAACTAGTTACATTTTTTTTTAGAGGAGCCATAACTTCTTTAGTATGTCGTTTTAAATTAAATATCGACCAGCTAGTGATCTGCATTGGGCCTAATATTCCTTCAGCCCGGTTCGATCCTGAACAAATATTTCGACCGGAAATATAAATTATTTGTCAACGTGACTTGGCCAGAAATTTTTATTTTAAATATAGACATTAATAAATTATTTCAATTACCCAAACTATCCATCTATCCATTAGAAAGAGATGTATAAGATTTATGAATAGTTAGAAAGACATACATATATTTAAAGTGAATTCTTATTCTCCGAATCAGTTTTGCTTTTAATGCCAATTCCCAATCTTAACATCCTTCCTCTTCATCTAATCTCCTTAATTTTTTTAGAGCAGTTTGGTTGAACCGTTTTCTCAGTAATTCCTGAGAAGTGGAGGGGAAGGTGGAGGCAAAAAATGCGTAGACACGTAAAATCTCATTACGTGTGTTTTTGTACTTTTCACTCACAGGGGAGTTAGATTATGACTAACCTTGGCCGCCAATTATTGCAAATGTTTCTTGTGGATGTAAAGAATCACTATAGCCCTCAACAGATAAAATTTTGTCTCATTTTATTAATTTTTCCATGCCACATCTACTAAAAGTGTGCAAAGTATACTGATGTAGTCCCATAGGAGAGGCAACCTTTTCTCCCAAGGCATAAAGGTTTATCCATACGGCCTTTTGCCATCCATTATGTTTAAATACACGGGTTCTAAGGAATTTAGTATATTAGCCCTTTTTCTAGGGCCTTGAAGGTTATAGTGTCTAATCGGGGGAAAAACATACAAAAAATTGTTTTTTTGTTTTTTTCCTGTTTTTTTTAAAATATTTTTTCTTATTACTTGTACAATTATTTGATTTGTTCGTGTCGCTAATTTGTCATTTAATATATTATTAAAATATTAAAATGTTTGAATTAAGATAAATATTTTTTGTTTTGTTTTTTTTGCTGTTTTTTTCCGTTTTTTGTATTTAAAAAAATTTATAATGAGAATTTTTGAGACCCTGGTTTATAGTATGAAATAAAGAAATATAAGCATTTTTACATCTGTATTAATCATAATCTTTTTTTGTTGGTTTAATTAATTAATTAAATATTCTTCAATTTTCCTAACTAACTTAATATTTATTTGCATTTTCATAACTCTTTAAAATCTAATTAATATATTAAAATAAAAATATTAGAAATTATATTTATAATTTTTAAATAAATGTTGTTATGTTTAAGATATCAGCCAGCATTTTTAATAACATATTTGATATTGAGAAGAAAAAAAAAACGTAATGAAAATGAATCAGGGTGGTAACCGAGGGGGGCGGATATATGTAGGTTATTTCTTTAAAATTGGCATATTTCGTTCTATGTTAGGTCAACTCTTAGTGATCATCAATCAAGCCCGACCCGGCCCGACCCGGCCCGACCCGGCCCGACCCGGCCCGAACCCGGATTTTTTTTTAAAAAAAACTCAAAATAAAACGATATATGTTATAATGGCGTCTAGCTAGAATAAATAAAATATTTTTTATTTTACATTAAAGATTAACATGAAATTGATAATCGACCTAACCTGATTTTTAAAAAAGTGTATTTCAGATCTCTATTTCTACATAAAGATCTTATTTAGACTGATAAAATGTTCTTTATATTAATATATATATGTATATCATTCTAGAACAATTATAGGAATATTAAGCATATTATATAACATTGTTAGCAGTGTTTGTATTGCGCTAATTTTTTTTCCAGTAGCCGTAGCTTTAGCTCATTACTTTCTAGATAAAATAACGGTAACTTCGCTACTCAGCTACTTTCAATTTTATACAATAAATTTCGCATAAAAGTTGTCCAAAAATAATATTTATAAATTAATTCTTAAAATCATAATCTGTTTTTTTTTTAAATTTAATTTTAATTTTAATATTGGAATTTGAAATTTATATTCTTATAAAAATATGCATTATAAATCAAAGTGTTTTTTCAAAAATTAAATTTAAAATTTTAAAAAAAATGTCGACGATTATAGAGAATTGATATTGAAGATAAATTTTGGGTAAAAGATCATATGGACAAAGTAAATTTTCCCTGGAAAAATGATGATGATAACAGCGCAGCCATGTTTTTAACCAAAAATATTCCAATCAATCTTCAAGGTGAGACTCAGCTTAGAGGTCTAATTCAATTTTTTTAGGCTAAATGCTCTACTAAGCCACAATAGGAATGATCAAAGTTAGCCAATTTAACAACACTACGCGACAGGGAATAAATTTCATTGTAAGATGTACCGGAAGGTGTTATCACTTCAACCAGGAACCTTCTGGCACCCAACCCTTAATCGTTAAAATAAAATTTGAATCGAAGCTTGTATCTTATAATAGTATTTTTAAGCTAGCTTGAGTTTTCCGTGAAAATCGATTTTTTTTGGCTCAGTTTCTAAACATGGTTATGTTTCAACTGGCCATAAGATATTATTCAACAATTATATTGTATCAGAACTCATTCTAGTTAATGAGAAAATTTTTTAGAAATTATTTTCTTTTTATTTATCAGGGATTTTTAAGAATGCTTAAAAAAAATAAATTAACTACTCATCTATTTAGATATATATATATATATATATATATTTATAAATTTTAAATAAAATACTTATTTCAAATCCTTCCACATTTTGATCAATTTTGAGAGAAAAATTGATTCAATAGATTAGAGAATGGTGGCCTGGCAAGTCATCAAACATGGTCATTTATGCCACTTATCTCCTACATAATTTTTATCTTAACCATTACTATTATAATATAAGAATAACCTTAGCCAGACCCAAAACGCCATATTGAAAATCTCTTTAGACGCATTTTTTGTTGAAAAGTGTATAATAGCGCGCTACTTTTAAAAGTAACTTTTGATAACACTGATATACAGGTAATAAATTTGGTTAAATAAAACTATCGTAAATGGATATTTTTTTTTGTATTGCAAACTCCTTTAAACTTTTTTTTAAGAGAACTAGTAGAAATTCTCCGGTAGAAGCCGGCTGGGGGGGGGCGATGCAGAATTTTACCAGGGGCCCTAAGAGTTAGGCTATATAGAATACTGTTTATTTAATATTTTTTTTTAAAAAAGGTCTTCTCAAAAATTAGCTCCTTCCAAGATTCAAGACGACATGTATTCCTTTAGAATATAAATATCATTATGTAGAATACTCCGCGACAATAAAGTAATGACGGAGTTCCTTATTGAAGCGTATGAAAGATTGGGGTAGGGGGGGGGCTGTTTAACGACATATGGATTCATTCATAATAATTGCATTTGAAATCTCGTTGAATGCAAATCAGCTGGACCCGCCATTTTTTGGTAACCTATACATATTAATTATCTCATATTAAAAACTAGAAAGAAAGAAAGATAGGAAGAAAGAATAAATTGATAACTTGCTTCCTTATTATCTCGATGATCAGGCAATTCCTTTAATAAAGTTTGCGTCAAACATTAGGAATAAATTGGCCTATAGTTTAAAATTTTTTTTAAAATAATGATATGGGTAATCAAAATGGCGTCCCCAGCTGTTTTTAATTGAATGCATCGTCGGTGTATATATTAATATTTGATGTCATTGGGGATTGTTACAATTAGAACTCGCGTTGGCCTTATATAATATATTTCCGCACATTTATACGAACCCAAAACAGATGACAATACGCGTTATAAATATGGAAGCAAGACCATCCCCCCCCCATAAACTAATGAGCAAATAGGTTCCTTATAGAATGACCAATCATAAAATACCGTATATCGAACTAATGAGTATGTGAAGTGTTAGCCCCACCACTAAAAAAAAATTTAAATGACCCCAATCCTTATTGGTTGATTTTGAAGAGATACTTATATTCAGATTTATTAGGGGGGAAAAAAAAACTGACCTCCACCATTCTTGTAACAGAGATAGGGAAATCTCCACACGTTTCCTAATCCTATGCACAGTCCCATGCAAGAGAATATGAAATCCAGTTTCCCGTCCCACGTTTCCCTTTTCACCAACGTTTGCGAGGAGGACTTCCTTTTCTTGAACGGTTCCAGAATGCTCACATTCTTCTTCCCTTCCTTGACTCCGCTGCTATCGGGTGAGAATTCGGATAAACTCGGGTAATTGCCGATGACCAAGGGATCCTTAACTATCATTTCGTCTTTGCGCATAATAAACGTCAGAATTTTTATTTTTATTTTACATGGATTTTGAGTGACAGAATAGATTTTTTTTTCTTCTAAAAAAATATATAGAATGAGTGTAAGTAGTGCGGTGGAAGTAGGGGGGGGGGGATAATAAATTAGTTTTTTTTATGTTACGTTCTATCAACGTTGCCGATTAAATATCATTTTCTATATAAGAATGATACGTTTAGAATTCACTTTATTAATGGGCATTAACATATTTTTTTTTTTTTTATAAGTTAATATTTTAATATTTTAATATTTAAATTTTTATTTTTATTTTGTAAAAAAATAATTAATTTTTTATATTTTTGCTTTTTTTTTATAAAAAAATAAATAAATATTTAATAAAAAAGTTTTTTTTTTTTAAAAAAAAAAATAAAATATTTAATAAAATATAAAATATTTTTTATTATTTTTAAAAATATAGATCCCATTTAATTTAGTCTAATTTATTGTTTTAGTTTAAGTCATCTGATGTTAAATCGCCAGGCTCTCCATATTCTTGTATATCTAACTTGACCATATATATAATTAAGATATGTTTCCCTTTGGAATTAACTGACTTTTTATTGTCACATCCACTTCGGTAGCTTATGTTGACTCTTAATTGTTGATAAAGTTAGGCCCCCATATCCGGCCCATACCCGGTCTGAGTCCGGCCCGGCCCGGTTGGTTCTGATTATATTTAAAATAATCGGGCCTGGCCTAATATTTGTAAAAAAAAATCCGGGTCATGCCGGGCTTGAAAAATTAGTTCCGATGCAGATCGTTAGTAGAAGCAACGATTCACATTTACAGCTGATTTTTATACAAAACGAATCTTATAAATAATAATAACAAGATATTTCCGATTCTACTTTTTCATTGCTATACTCATTATTACTAAACACATATAGTAGTTCCACCCTTATCATACTTCATATATGGGTGTTACACAAGGTTTGTTGGTATCCTCGAGGAAAAAAAAATCGGCTTAATTATATGGAGGATGGGACTGTCATGTAATTCACGCACGCTCAACTTTGGGCAGGTCCATATATGAGACCAACGTGCTAAATAAAGAAATTTTAAGATAAGTAATATTTTTTTTTAGTCGTATAAAAAAAATGACAAATAATTTTATTATAATTGTTTTTTTTTTGATATTTTGATAAATTTCTTAATATCCAAATAAAAAAAAAAAACTTTGATATTTATTCTTAAATAAATATGTTTAAAAAAACAAATTTTAGAAAGAAAATAAAATAAGCCAGAAATTTATAATTCATTAATTAATTAGTAAGAAATATAAAAAATTATATAGTATATACTAAAACTGAAACGTATCCGAAAAACAAAGTGATTGATTTATAAATAACTTAACTCTTCTTCTGTCAATGACGGATCGATGCATTCATAACGCATTTGAAAGGGTCGTTGAATGCGAATCAGCTGCATCCGCCATTTTGGGTAACCCCTATAGCCATTATTCTCATGTTTAAAAAGAGGAAGCTACTATTAAATTGATAACTTGCTTCCAGATTATAAGTTTGCGTGGCCCTCTCGTTTAAAATTTTATAAATAATGATTATGATGAGTAATAAAGATGGCCTCCTCAGATGGTTTTAAATTGATGTTATACACCTTTCAATGAATGCATGCATCGTCAGTCTACCTATTATTACATGTCATTGATAGGGTGTATATTTTCTTAAACCCCATTTTAACATTCCCAATTAGAAAGCCTTCAAATGGACCGGTTAAAAATTTAAAACATCTGGCGGACTTTTTGGGTGCTAGCGTCGGCGTGTTAATTTTTTTAAACTGTAGATTATTTATTATGGCGCCTTTTTTTTTTTTAAATTTAAAATTTTGATTTTACCGGAAATGTATGCCATCTCGATTGGAATAATTACCCTGTAAATAAGAAACAATTTCGTTATGAACTTTTATTTTCCGTCGATTTTTTAAATATAAATTATTATATATTACAGATGAAAAGGGGGATTGGGGGTTAGAAAATTTTTCTAAAATCGTGTGCTGGCGTGCTACGGTTAGAAACCTCATCGTTTCCAGATATCAATGCCCTAATACCTAAATGTTATGTTATGTTCAATATATAAAACGATTAAATTAATGGGGAAAAAAAATATTAACCTTCATATAAAAACGTAAAAGCTCTAACAAGAAGATACTAAATACTATACTAAATGAGGAATTTATGATCCATTCTATTTTCTTCTTCTTTTTTTTTCTCGCAATACTATGTATAAAGATTTATCAGAAACTCTTCTTAGCATTCGTAATTCTCCCCAATCATACTCTACCTACCCTACTATTCATATTCATATTTAATATGCCATCTTCAACTCCAGTCGTAACCGTTTCAAAACTAAGTGTTGTTTAACGGCTCGATTTGAATCGATTTTTTGAAAAAAGGCTAATTTCAATGTTTTATTCAGAAAAATATCACGCCAGCCTAAAGATACTGCTCTTAGATGGCACATAGGATTGAACATCTATTGGCGAAATCTTGACGCTTGGTCTGGCTAAAATATTGAGTTCGATTCTTTTAACAACACTACTCAAAACCTCCCCTATTTTTAGAGATCTAGCCACATACATCCCCTTTTTTTTCCTTCCTTTGTGCCATCAATGGTTTGTACGAACCACTATAATATGTTCTCTAACATTTTCCTAGTTCCTTTTGATTTGTCTAAGAGTGCATCTAACCCATTCACATATCGGTTACTCGTAACAATTTATCCTTACTTTTCTTCATACTAGGGCTGCCCATTTCTTACCTTAAGTATTTCCCACTGGATGGCTAAAAAAAAGGGGAAAAGGGGGGGGGCGACAAATCGATAATTATGAATCTTGTATACGTCCCTAATTGTTTAAAATCTAGATTCATCTTCCAGGGTGGCAAATACTGTAGGAACCCTGAAGTCAGCAATCTGGTGCCCATAGAAACAACCAGATCTCAAATCACCTAAACAATTTTTTTTTTTTTAAATCTACCAATAGCTTATCTAAGTGAACATCGGGAAAAATCAAAAATTGTGCAATTTTGTAATTTTGCAAATAAATCTTGTAAAAGAGGTTTTTTTTCCCCTTAGAATATCTATTAATTGTTATTAATAGTGGGGCTGATTGTAACCATTTTGGTAAAGAAAACGTATTTGTTTTTAAATAACTAATATAACTTAATATAGAATTTCCAAAATTTATAGTTTATTTCTATTTTAAAACTGCTTTTTTGAAGTGATTTTATAAGTTCTTTAAAAAAAAAAAATCTTAACTTTAATTGAATGATAAATAATTTTTTTTTCTCTTCCTTATTTGAATTTCAAAATTAGGAAGGAATAGAGGAAGAAAGAAAAATCCTTAAAAACAAGAAATCTAAATTTTTTCAAACAAAAATAAAAATTTTAGTGCTATTAATTTTTATATTTTTGATATAGTTTATAATTAGTAAATTTTTTGCCAAAAATAAATAACTTAAAAAAGTACCATAATAATTAATAATTAAAAACTATATCAATTACTTTTAGTTTCTTTATTAAAAAAGGAAAAAGTAATTGATATGTTGAGTGGTAAAACCCATTAAGCTAATTAATAGATTAAGATTCTTCATTATTTTACCACTTTGAAAATAAAAATATTATTATTATTATTATTATTATACCAATTAAAATTGTGACAAATATGGATGGAAAAACAAAATGATTTTTTTAAAGTGAAAATCGATTTTAAAAAATTATTTTTTTTAATACATGATAAATCATTAAGTTATCCAGGGATTTTGCTAAGGGGTCAAGAGAAGGATCAGGGTACATTTATTGCATACTTTTGGGCTATATCATTAACTTTTACTAATTTTTCTTTTCAAATTCTTCCTTATAAATGATATATTGTACACACATTTTTTTTTGGGAGGGGGGGGGGAGGGGTGGAATGGGGTGGTGTGTGTGTGGGGGTGGGAGAAATTTTTATTAGCCCTAAAATGATATTAACGTGAACAGGCAACCCATTGGTTACACCCCAAGTTTTGGAGAAATGTTTGCCTGATCAAAAAAAAATCGTCTAATTTTGGCACATTCGATGGGTACTAAAAGATCAATAAATAAAACTGAACCGAAACAAAACAAAATTCGACATGTGTCACGATTGTATAAGCGAAAGTCAGCTTTGTGGCAGGTGGATATCAAATATTTCGCTTTAGTTTACTGACTCAGAATATCTAGGACACTTTCTCCTTCCCCCTTTTCTTTTTAAAGGAATTCCTTTGGTTCTTTTAATTTTTTTTTTTAAAAGAAAAATGCTTCATTTTTTGTAATATTAAATTGTCTTTGAGATTTTTTTATCGTGTTGATTTCTGTGCGGTGCTGTTATTTGGTAATCAAAATAGGCACTCGGCTAAGGATCGTATATGTTCTCTATACTATGTATCTCCTATCTCCATCTAATTGTATGTTAAATAAAATTTATGGGGAAAATAACCCCTATTACACATCTATGGGCAAGCTGTACATACTTGTAAGGCATAATAAAATTATATTAATTTTCATTTTACCGCTAGCTAAAAAAAAAGAGTATCTCCGTAATTATTTCAGTTACTTTTATACTTCAACAAAGCTTTTGAAAATATATTTTAAATGCACTTTTAATATGACAATCTCCCGTATGGTTTCATTATCTTAAAGAGGTTTTACAATGAATACGATATTATACTATTAAAAACTCGTAAAAACCAAAATATATAAAGATATTTTTACATTTACATTTTCATTTTCAATTCAAAAATTTGGTTTTTATCTATTATAACGTTATAAAAAAAATTTTTTCTACAATCAATATCAATTTATTATTTAATATTATTATCGTAATCGTATTATCCATCAATTTTTTAAATATTATTATATATAAGTTAGAAAGTAAAGTATAATAATACCGTGTAAACATAACTAATAAATAGCTTTACTATATCTAGAAGATTGATACTGGGGTTCATAAATAATAATTATAGGAAAAAAATGTTTAAAGTTTAAAAACATGACTTTTTAAACACCATAATAGGATCATAAGATGACAAAAAATATACGTTTTCCTTTTTTAAAAAATAATAAATTAAATAATCTGCAATTAATTTCATATTAATATATTTCTTTCTTTCTTTCTTTTTAATTAATTAATATAAATTCTAATTTTTTTTTTATTGAGTTATTTTATTTTAT